TACGGATCTATTTTATTTGTATATATTATATTATATATATATATATACATATATACATATATATATATATATATATATATACATGTATATTATTACTATAGTATACACAAGTATATTAGCATATTGTTATACTATTATATTATTGTATTATTGTATTTTTAATGTATATGTATAGATGTATATAAATTTATATGTATATATTGCATATATTTATATATATTTATTGTTATATTGTAATATATATAAATATTGTTATATTTATATTGTTATATATATATATATATATACATATATATATTGTTATATATTGTTATATATATATATATTATACTAAGCTGACGTGCTCATTCTTTCCCAGACATGTACAATCTGCCTTTGCAAGACCACGCCCCCGCGGCAGAGCCCTCTACGTCTGACCCCCAGTTGAACATACAGCCTGAACTCACACTGCCTCCCCCAAGGCAGACGCCACCAGTACTAGACTCGTCACACACACCAATGCCGGGCATATACAATTTCCGTGTCAGATTGGGACATTTTGATAGCACCAATCCCACAGGGTATGTGAGAAGAGTCTTAACTCATGGGGAACATTGTGCAAACTATTAACTGTTTGTGGGCGATACTTCAGTAGTAGAGATCAACGCCGAGTGCGTACAAGAGCCCTGTAACAACAAGCTTCATGATAGTGCCCGACTCAATGGGTTAGATGAAGTTGAGATCAATATGTCAAGATATCTATGCAAAGACATGTACGCACACACGCCACCTGTGTTGTATTTCCGTACCGGATCGAGACACTGAGATGACACTACTCGTGCTGATGTGTGAACATGGGAGTTTATATAGTTATTTTGTTTGATAAACTACATACTGAAAGTACGTATTTGGCCCTCAATTCTGTGTGATTCTTTAGCTGTGGCTCTATTTGTGTTAAATTGGGTCAAGTTTCCAGGTACATGTACGGATCTGCATGGTGTATCTGGAAAGTTCAAAGAGTAGGGTATTGTAGTGTGGGATCAGTTCCATCAAATCCTTCCGTGTACACCTCCATTGCCGTTTTCATACCATATACGATAAGATGCATTTCATGCATATGATCCTATGCGTTGTTGTTTCTGTTGTGACCGTATTGGGGTGCTATCGTATACGTTTAAATGCTTACGATGTGCACGATCATGTGGTGTAGGCGAGGTATGCCTGCCTGCAGTCAATGCGTACTCTACTTTTCTAACGTATTGTATTCCACCACTCACCGACCCCTCAGAAAACTGACCGGCTCCACCACGTACTCATCGCTTCTGGACCGCCTGTTCATCAACATGGGTGTGTACACCCCTATCACACTCTTTTCGCACACCCCACCCCCCGAAGGGGCCGTTGTCCGGTGCTTTGTCGTGTTCTCAAGCCAAGAGAAATGTACCACCACCGTGACAAGATGTCCAAACCACCGGAGCGCCACAGACCACTCCAACACAGGCAACGACCCGCAGAAAGCCCCACTGACCCATATACTGCAGGTGTGTGTGTGGCGGGGGGGGAATGCCGGGACGGCCTGAGGCGGCGCGTGCGTTTGAGTTGGGTTGGGTTCGGTTGTGCCACGCCGCGTTCTTGGGTTGGCTGAGTGTTTTAGTGGTTAATCAATTTGGTCGAGGTGTTGGCGGTGATTCTCTGTTTGTTTTGCCCGTGTACATTCATTTGAATATTGATATGTAGTGACAACTCAACCGATTGATTCATTGTATTTCAATTGATTACCTATTAGGAGTTGAATCCATTGGTTCTTTATGTTGCAATGGATTGATCATTTGTATTCCATTGATTGGTTTTGGCAGTTGAATCGATTGGTCTGTTGTATTTCAATAAATTGCTTATTGGTGGTTCAATTGACTGATTGGTCATCTGTAGTTCAATTGACTGATGTGGTCATCTGTAGTTCAATCGATTGCGCCTTCACATCTCAATTCACTGCTTCTTCGTACTTCACTCATCTCAGGTCAGCCATCCGCAGGCACAGTACCTGACAACGCCCTCGGGTGTGGAGTCAGCCGTGGTCCCCTACAATGCGCGGGAGAGCAGCGTAAAGAATAGCGCGGCGAAGAAAGAACGAACCGCCGGTTTTGGCGCGTTCCAAGACACCACGTCGATACGATACATGTGTTACTCGTCCTGTGCCGGTTCTATAAATAGAGAGAACATACACACCGTATTCCGACTAGAACTGGGTAGTGACATACTCGGGGTGGCGTCACTAGATACGAAGATTTGTTCGTGCCCGTCGCGTGACCGGACCAAAGCCGAGAAGCTCACCCGTCAGCAGGAGGCATCAGGTACCACTGGTAGTAGTAGGAAAAGGAGTGAGAAAGGCCGAGACAGTCCGAGCCATTCCACAGATATCGCGTCGACAGGGGCAACCAAAGACTCGCATACCAGTGAACGCATACAGGCGCCCTCGATAGTACACCCACACAGCTCACAGGCCACACTCGTCGGCAAGCGCAGTCAGCGGTTGATACAGAACGTACAGCACAAGCTACCGACGAGGATCAACACAGCCGACACGCACACAGCCCACCCCATGCGATGGAGCACCGCACAGAGTACCAGAATAGCAACAGCAGATAGTACTGTAGGTATCGACGAGGATGCCGTGTACTATGTGGCTGTTCGAGGGCGACAGAACTATGAGGTGCTGAGTCGTGTTGCGGATGGCCTCAACGCGCTCGCGCAACGCCCACCCAGAGCGCGTTCATTCAGGTAGGAATTATATATATATAATATATATATATATATATATAGTGTTTTGTATTATCGTGCTCATCCTATTGGTATCGCACTATTGTCATTGGTGCTTCTAAACGAGATACATAAATTCCTTGCACTTCCAATGGCAGCCGTGAAACCAGTTAACTTTCTTTTACGGACTCGCACACTCTATTTTATTTATATGCTATACCTACCTACAGGCAACACAATCCACTACCTACGAGAACGCCGTCCCTACTCGTCACGAGCAATCCACCGCCGCCACCAACCACTACAGCCAACACAGCAGCCCCCACAAACACAAACACAAACACCAACACCAACACATCCACCGATACAAAAACTGTGTTCAGCAGGCCTGGACAGAACAGTACTATACCGTCTCTATCTAGTAGACGAAACCCTTCGTTGGTTTCTTCAACAACCTCTGTACCGCCAGCACAACCACGGACTGCCGCCTCCAGCCGATCATTGCGTACTGTGCCCAGTCGAGAGAGACGCGTCTCAGGGACAGTGCCAAGCGATGTACCTGTGAGTGAATCACCGGCCAGGAATACGAGGTAGGTACCTACTGGTTGACCGGCTTGTACGGGGGCGTATCTACAGCCTGGCCAAGTACCCGTGCACACGTGGTATTCAGGCTTACATGTGCTCGTATTCATACGCTGGATGCGTATCTTGCGTCGTTTCGTTTCAGACTTGTATACTTCTGTCGAGTCTGTGGGTACAGCCTCCACTAGTTTGTGATTTTTGACCCACCTTTTTTTTTCTTGGTTCAGAGCGAGAGTCATTCGAGGTATCGATATCACTATCAATGGCCACAACATCCGCCAGAATCGATCCAAAAGGCTCAGGACAAGTTCCAAAAACTCAGCAGGTATTCGGACTGCTACTCAAAGTTTGACTGTACCAGAAAATGCAAAATTATTTTTTGCGTGGTACTTCTCGGTGTCTTCTAAGCGAGTCGAGTTCTATAATGGTCCCCTGTACAAGCAATTATATGATGTGGTCTCGAATATACGCATATGTATGATAGATCCCGTACAGTTATATATTTATTATTATATTATTATATTATTATATTATATATATATATATATATATACATATATGTAGTGTGTGTGTGTGTGTGTGTGTGTGTGTGTGTGTGTATGTATATATATATATATATATTCTTAGCGTGGTCTTTAACTTAGTTCTGTCATGCACAATGTAGGAGAAAGCCGTATCAATGTCAAAGAAAGCGGTGATGGCACCGATACGGAAGAGGAACCAGAACTGGTATGCCCAAATGTCAGAGGGAAAGCCCCAGCAAATCCAAACCATGCGCCTGTAAATGGGTCTGCTAATGAGGCAATACAGCCACGAAGAACGCGGTCACAGAGAACAAAGCGTGACCTGCCTTTACCCGAGTTTTTTAGATGATATAAAGTACATTAATTGAAATACTCTGACAGGATTACTTTGTGTTTAATAGAGCCTCGAAATTAACTGTATATAATTTGTACAAGAAATATTGCCTGAAGATTATACTATCTATTTAGTAGATTTGCTATGATACAGTTTTCTTCAACTGAAGTGCACAATATACATTATTT